TTCAAACTATATTTCTGCAAGAAGATGTCTAAAACAGGAAGTGGCAGAGAGGAGTGTGATGATGGACAATATGAAATTGCTGACGGGCATCAAGAACATTTATAATGTGTGTGAGAACCCCACCCCTCCATCTTCCTCTTCCATCCAGTTAAGGGAGAGAGAAGCCAATCTTCCCCCATTGTTCAAGCCTCTGAGGAAAATTAAAAAGGCTTTTAAAAGAGCTGTAACTCTGGATCCTGAAACAGCACATCCCAGCCTTCTAATATCTGAAGATAAAAAGTCAGTGAGATTTGTGATGGAAAAGAAAATAGCTCTTCCTACTCTGAGGAGATTTAGCACTTTCCCACTGGTCCTCAGATCTGAAGGCTTCGATTCAGGCAGGCATTACTGGGAAGTGAGAGTGAATGACAAGCCTGAATGGATGGTGGGGGTTTGTGAAGAACCTCTATTCAGAAAGGATAACCCAAACTTAACAGGACAGAATGGATACTAGACGATTCAGCTCTCCAATGATATGTATGTTGCACAAGGCTTTGTTTCAGTCCACCTTAGGTTAACAACAAAACCTCGAGGTATAGGCATTTATCTCGACTATGAACTAGGTGAAGTTTCCTTTTACAATTTACATACAAACTCACATATACATTCATTTTTTAATGGATTTTCTGGACTACTCAAGCCTTATTTTTATTTTGGAAGGGCTCCCAAATCTCTAACAATCTGCACAGATTATGAATGATAAATTCCCATGTTAAGTCTGGGCAAAGGGGACCAAAGGGAAGAATGAGGAATTCAGAACTCAAATGCAGATGGCCCCGCCTGCTGCTGATAAGAAGAGCAAACAGCCTAGCTTGCCTGGCTGAGCTAGCACGTGGCTTGTAAGTTAGAGTGGAATGTCCCTCCCTAGTGACTCAGTTTATAAAAATCCTCCCCAGTAAGTTCACAGTGTGACCTCCCATTCTGCCTCTCCAGGATGAGGAACTCACCTGGGAGCTCCCTTCCCCCCTTTAATAAAGCTGCATTATGTTTTCTCTCATTCTCTCTGATTTCTTCTTTAAGTCTGCTAAACTAACATATGGTGCTGCAAAACCTGGGAGATGAGTTTAGGTGCTGTGCCCCCACCTTAGGGTGATTGCTGGCATTCCTTGCTCTCTCCTGAACCAGTGTCAAGATTCTCCAATGGAAAGTAAGGTTCTGTTGCTCTCCCTCTCCCCTGTGCTCTGTGTGTTCAACTGCTGGCCAGATCTCTGCCCCTTTTGTATTTCTAATCTCTGTATTCCCCTTCTCCTTTCCCAGGAGATTCCTGATGCTGACATAATTGTTTGAAAGAGCTCAGAGCTAGTCAGACTAGTCTCCTGCTTCAAAGGCAACTGTGCCTTTTGAGTCAGAACATTTGTGAACTCCCATGGAAGACCAGATCTGGTCTCACTTGACCCTCATTTAGGCAGGCTGGCGCCCAGTTCCACACACTGGTGCTCTGTCCTGTCAATCACAGATCTGTGTCAGGGGTGTCACCTGAGAAACTTTTACTGAAAAATTTCTTATGGGCTATTGATCTCTTGAGGATGCTTGTGTCATCCATAGCCTCTCTGTTCTGGAGACTCCCACTTTGCAGGGGACACCCTGTAATCCTGGTTGTCTCCCCAGCAGATCCAAGAAACACGGGAAATCAGATGTCCAGAGCTGCTTGCTTTCTAATCTTTCAAACTTGGGTCTAGCTGAAGACTCCTGCCTCAAGAAACTGATCCTTTTTTCTATAACTGTGTAGCCACAATACCAGCTAAATAATAACTCTCAGTGGCCTAAGAATAAAACCTTTAGTTCAGCATCTAAACACTTTCTCTGCCAACAGACTTAAAGAAACTTTCTTTTGTTTTGCTGCCATGACTCTGCCTCTGTCCCAGCCTCCACTCCCTCTGCACAGTGTCTCCTTTAAATACCTCCCAAATTCCCAACAAAGCCTTTTCATCCTGACCAATCCAAACTCAGCCATTGCTATTCTGCCCCCTATGTCATCTGTTGCTAGGGGTGAAGATTCCTGCCATGCGGGATCCCTTTGTCCTCCAACTACTCTGCCCTCTGCTGTTCTATCCAATCCAGGATCAGCCCCAAGGATATATGATCCTGCCAACCTAAATCTCTTTGATTTCCAGTTGCCCAGCCCTCTTCTATCTCAACCAATCCAGACTCAGACATTCCTATTCCACTCCTCCTACTGAGTCCCTCCTATAACCTCTTCAAAAGTTACAAACTTAAAAGTCCCTCTCACTTTCAAAACCTACTGTATCTCTAACTGCTGTAAACTCACTCACCTTTAATCCTACAAACCCCTTACAGCCTCTGTTTTCCTAACTCAGTCATACGCAAATGTCGCCTCACCACAGGTAGCCCTTTCCAATTCTCCCTCAGACCCATCCACCTTCTCTTTCCTCCCTCTCTCCCAAGCCATTCAGAAAGTTTCATGCATCCACTCTTCTTTTTCAACCCTGACCTACAATTAAACTATCACCTTCTTCCTCTGATAACATTAGCAGCAAAAACATATGCAAATTGGCCAGACCTCTTGGTTCCTGCTTTCCCTTCTTATGGGTCAGCTCAGGCAAGCCCCTCCCCCGTCCCCCACTCAGGAAAGTTCCCAGAGCAGAGAAAAATGCCAAAGTCAATAGCAAATTCTCACTGCTACCCAACAGCATACAAAAACAACAAAACAAAAAAAAAACAAACAAACTAGAAACTACCTCCAAACATCTCACTCACCTTCAAACACCCTATTAGAGACATGGTGGGCCTTTCAAGTTCCAATGTCTGAGAGGAACTGACAGAAAAAACTCGTGCCTTACAGCAGTGGTGACAGGTCAGAAAATACCTGCTCCTCACCTCTGGATACTTGCTTCAAGTGTGGCAAAAAGACCATTGGAGTTAGCACCTATTCTAACCCTCCAAACCGGAGCCTGCTAACACAGCCTTATCCTATCTGTGGACACAGGGCCATTGGAATATAGGGTAAGTTCCTACAAAAGCAACCATTCTGCAGACCCAGTTCCCACCCTGGCTGATCTCTGAGGCCTGGCCACAAACACTGAAAATGCCCAGGTTCCACAACCCTCACCACTCCTGCTAAGCTACCCTTCAGGTACCAGGTAGACAAGTTTCCTTTCTGGTTAACAGGAGAACTACCTGCTCAGTACTCCTTTCTTTCTTGGATTCTGTTTTCCCTACCCTGGTCATAATAATAGGGATTAACAGCTTTTCCTCCAAGCCTCTTACCACTCACCATGCATTGTCAACCCTATCATATAGTATCTTTCCCCATCATCTGTAACCTCTCACTACCAACCTGTTTTCATTACTCCAAAGAACTCCTCCTCTTTTCCTGCTAAAACCCAAGTGCCTGTCTTCGCACAACACGGTAGAAATCTGAAACCCATCATTACTTACCTACCTTCCAATAAACTTCTTATCCCTAAATAAATAAATAATTTTTTGGTGTGCAGTCCCACCCTCTACCCTGCTCAAACTTCTTGGCCTCCAAAGGATACAGAGTATCCCCTTCCAAGGCCCAACTATCTCTCCTCACAGTCACACATATCAGCTTTCAATTAACTCTCACCACTAGAAGTCTAACAGTCAATCGGCACATTGCCATTGAAAGCCTCAAGCCTCCTCAAATTGCTGATCAAATCCTCTCCTTTCTCAGGTTTTTTAGTTTCTCATAAGGAACAGCTTTCACGGCCTCATTGCTAAGTAAGCAAAGCATTAGAGAGGCAGGGCCTGTCCCAGGGACAACGCTCCTCACAAACCTCCAGCTTTATACCTAATCTGAGGACATGTCCCGGGAACAGCTCTCTGGAAATTTTATATCCTCAACATCACACCTGATTTAAAGCAATCTCAAATTATGTAACCTTATTTAAGTTCGTTCAATCCATCTGTCCTTCAAAACTTAAGAACTGAAATGTCAAATAGTCAAAGGTTTCCTATACTCAAACTTGTTCTTTACTGTCCACTTTCATGTCTGTCTCTACCTCGCAGTCTGCCCTGATTCCATGTTAAGATTCTCTGAAAACTCTGCAAAATTGGAAGTCTCTGTAACCTGTCTCTCACTCTCTGGCCTAAAAGCACCTACGATGTGTCAAATCACCCTAATTCTTTATACTCGTCCATGAGCTAGATCTGTCTTCTGACTGCTCCTCTTTGAACTGTCCTTGGGGACACACTTTGCAGGGGTTTTCTGCCTCTCAACATTACAAACCTCCCAAACAACACCAAACTGATTTAAGAAGGAAAGAGAAAGTCAAAAAAGAAAAAGAGAGGAAGAGAGACACAGAACAAAGAGAAAGAAAAGAAAGACATCAAGAGACCTGACTCTAACAAAATTAAACTCTGAGCCTAACTAAGACTCACTGCAGCACATAATGCCAATTTTAGCCTCCCTACCTTGATACAAACAGACAACGGTTCTAGCATCATCTCCAAAAACATCTAGCAAGTATCATCTAGTTTAAGTATCTGCTATTAACTATACATACCATGTCATTCCCAGTCTTCCGACAAAACAAAGTACATAGACACATTAAGTCCTGTCTTACTAACTTAAGACCTGTCACATAGGTCTTAAGTTAAGTTACCTCCTATTGCCTTAGCCTATATCTAAACAACACTCTGTTATCCTTCCTTTCTGAACTCCTTCCGGCTGATGTGCAGCCATCTACTTCTGCTAAACCGTAACTTGTTCCCCAAGCCCTCCTCCTTCTTCTTCCTCCTCCTCCTCCTCCTCCTCTCCTTCTCCTGCTCCTGCTCCTGCTCCTGCTCCTGCTCCTTCTCCTTCTCCTTCTCCTTCTCCTTCTCCTTCTCCTTCTCCTTCTTCTTCTTCTTCTTCTTCCCGCTTCTTTTAACATTGTGCCTTGTCTCTCCCTCCTTAAGCAACTACTCTGAAAAACACTTACAAAAAAAAACCCCAAAAAACCACAATGCTGTATACCCAGACTCTCCTCTGAAGGTCTGGACCTTCAAATCAGGTCATTCTCATCAAACAGCATATACCCAAACCTCTCCTACCACACGGAAGCAGGCCTTGATCAGTCACTTTGATCACTCCCACAGCTATTAATTAAGGTCATGAGTGACCCCATTGACCCCATCTTTCTCAAGTCAAACATGTTTCCCCTCACTAAGTAAATTTCCCATGCTCTAGACGCCAATACCCAAGTACAAGTTTCCAATAACGTTCTCTAAGCTAAGCAGACAATAATACAACAAGCCTCTGGAGAACCACAAACTATGCAGCTCCAACTTGGTTCCAAATTATCCAGGGCGCCTGCACCTTACTATTCCTTAACTAAAGTCAAATGGCAACCAAACTTTCCCTTATTTTCTGTGTGCCTCTTTACAACAACCTTTGCTACCAGCAGTACCAATCAATTTCTCTAAACCACACTCCACCAAAACACCTCAAGCCATTACATCAACCCAAACTGAGTGTTCCACCATTCAAGAACACATTTCCTTCTAAAAACCAAAGCCTGATAAGAACACTAAGCCCACTTGCATCTAACGCCCCCTGCAGTGGAACTTGAGAACTGTAAACACAATGCCAGCATAAACAAGCACACTGTAGCTAAACCAGAACACCACTTTTAGTATAATAAACCTCTATACAGAATTCAATCACAAACCTTCACCCAAATTAACTAAAAAACGAATTTATAACTTAAATTTTCCTTCTCTAAGACCAATAATTATTCATTGTTTAATATTTTTATTTATTATTTTTAACCAATTGTTATTAATCACTCCATGCCTCTTTAAGTTTTTACTTCACAGGATCAAGGAAATGACCACCTTAATTCTCTCCTGGCCACTAATACCAGAGTGACTCACTTCAGGCTCTGAACCCCCAGACCGTCACTCCTGTTCAGCAGATAGTAGCAAAAGAAAAATAATTTGCCCTGTTTTATAACTAAAAAGAGTCTGAGATGTTAAGTCTAGGCAAAAGGGCCCAAGAGAAGAACAAAAAATTCAGAACTCAAATGCAGATGGCCTTTTCTGCTGCTGATTAGAAGAGCAAACAGCCTTGCTTGCCTGGCTGAGCTAGCAGAGAGCTCATAAACAAGAGTGGAATGTCCTTGCCTAAAGACTCTGTTTATAAAAATCCTTCCCAGTAAGTTCACAGTGTGACTTCCCATTCTGCCTCTCCAGGATGAGGAACTCACCTGGGAGTTCCCTTGCCCTCTTTAATAAAGCTACATTAAGTAAGCTTTCTTTAACATTTTTGTATTATATTAGTTTGTTTATATAGTTTGAATACATTGTGTAATACTCAAAAGTCTCTTCCAAATTATGAAGAATTTTTGGAAATTGTTGCACTGGTTTACTAATCTCCGTTTGTCTCAATTCTAATATCCTTGCAATATATTTCCAATAATGGAATAGGTGGGTCATACAGAGCTTCTATGTTCAATTACTTGTTGTTGCTGTTGTTATGTGCCATCGAGTCGTTTCCGACTCATAGCGACCCTATGCACAACAGCTCTAAACCCTGCTCTATCCTGC